GGATGACCTGGTGGCGGTTTGACCTCGTCGATTGCCAGCCTCGCCGCGTTGGTCCTCTCTTAGCACTGTTCCTGCTCCTTGGACTTTCCTGTACTGCTAGCTGGGCTGGTAAGTTGTGCAAAGGTATACCTCGAATATCTGCTATTAGGTTCTTAGCCTTGGTTCGAGTCCAGGGCTACTATGTGGACGTGCGTCCAGTATCGTTCCTTGTTGGACGTAATATTGTTAGCACCCTACGTGCGCCAACTCTAGCTCCACTCCACGCGTCCTCAATTAAACAAGAAAACGGGCATTCGTTCCGCACCGGAAGCGAAAGTCCTTCGTGAACCGAAATGGGCTCCATAATCTTGGTCATATCACACCAGGTTTTATTCAATATCCTTCATTCCGAATTTGATTTTAGCACGATTATTCCCTAATCTTTTCGAGGTATACACTGGTCTCTCCAGTATAAAAGCCTCCCCCCATCTTCTCATTTCACCAGTCGAACAACTCCCACTTGTTTAGCTACTCCAGCCTTCTCTTCCAGCTTTCAACTCACTCAGTCTTCGTCGCTCTCATCTCTCTCATCGTCATCATGATCTCCAAGATTGTCTTCATCATCGTCTCTTTCTTCACCTTCTTCCAATTCGCCCTCGCCGCTCCCAACGGTGCCCCCCCCATGCCCGCAAGCCAGTGCAACGTCGGCAGCGTACAATGCTGCAACACTGTTCAATCTGTCCACAGTGTTGGCCTCGGATCGTTTTTCGGTCTTGCTGGTGCCCTTGTGCAGAACCCGAACGCTCTCGTCAGTGCTACGTGCAACCCAATCAGTGTTATTGGCGCTGGTGGCGATTCCTGGTTTGTTCTCCCCGTATACGTCTTGATTCGTTGGCTAACCTGAGTGCATAGCAATGCTCAACCCGTCTGCTGCACAGACAATAGCTTCAGTACGTGGATCCTTCCCTGTTTTCGTGTTATCACTGATTCGGCGTTTATCTTACAGCTGGCGTTATTGCTGTTGGGTGTACTCCCGTCAACATCAACGCCTAAGGGCACTGTTGCAGTGGCGGCCTCTTGGACTGAGTTTTATGGATGGTTACGACTTACGGCCGTTTCACGATGTTTTCCTTTAGTTCCGTGTTTTGTTTTGAATTTGACGGCGATTAGTTAGCTTTTGGCGATGCGCGTCTTCCTGCCCGTCTCTTAGTTTTGTCATGAATTCGATCCTCATCTTTTGGCCTGTACCTTTCCGTGGTTCTGCCTGAATCCCTATGATTTTGTTTGTGCCCTTTTACTCTCTAGTTTCGAGCATGGTGCTGAAATGAAGAGTCAAAGACAAGGCCTGATGTACTGAACTGAAGTGGATGATGTTTACTCGAAAAGTCAGGATAAAGCTGTTGGGTAACAAGAAATCTCGCTTCCAGGGTCTCTCGACCACACGTGTTCTTTACAATTGACGAGGGTGAAACGACGAAAGTAAGGGAACAATATACTTATAAAGGGAGCATCGTCAAGCTTCGCTACTAGCTAGCTGGCTGATACTTCTGCTAGGGTCAACCCAGTCTGGTGCAGCCGACTGTTCCTTTTGCGTAACACCTTTGAATGCTCATCCAAGTATCACTGCCTCGATAATCTTCTTCTTCCCCGCCAATGCCAAACCCACATAGAACTCGACGCCAACTCCTCCAGCGTGAGCCCGGCTCACGTCGGATGCTTTTGCGTATAGACCTGGCGCAGCGGGGTATATCCAATAGCAGTTACACGTTGACGATGTGCAATGACGTCTATGGCGAATTGTCAGCCACGACATCTAGATGCTGATATAGAAAGGGAACGTACCAGCATATCGTCGGATTGAACTGCTGGAATGCGTATAGATCGGGCTCGCATGGCCGTAATGTCCAAACGTATCCCTGATTACACGTCCAGAGCAGCAGATAGCATATACCGTGCAACCATTGTGCGAACGAGTGTGGAAAGAGAGTTCATTTGGGCGCTAAGTTTATCGAAAGTCAGCGAAGGGAAAAACTCGATTGAGACAGGATGTCTTACAACGCACAAGCTGCGGGGATTCCCATTCGAACCCGATACGTCGATGTTATCAAAACTGGTTGGTGGTGTAGCCATATGCCATCTACGAAAAGAACATCAGCGTTTGTCGACCAAGGCAAGTTGTATCTACAGTATAAACGAACCGACCTCAGCAACCGCAGCCTGCGGGAACATCTCCTAGATCTTCTTCACCACATTGACATTAGCCGACAAGATGAATTCTTCGACCAATTTATTCATCTCCCGCAGCCCCCTTTGCTCCACATTAACCGAGGCAGGAAACTCTGAACTATAGAGATGGATTTAGACCCCAGGCAAAGCGAGGTTAAGTGCTCCAGCCGGGCTTTGAGCTTCTGAGCTGATTGAGAACTCGAAAGATCGTCCTGCATGGACCTAGCATGTATGTAGATGAGAAAAGGTAGGATGGGAGACGGTATGGGACGTACAGGCCATTCCTCCGCAGCTGCACCTCGTAGGTGAAAGCGGCCTTAGAAGCAATGACAGCTTCTGTAAAACCAACGGCGACAATCTCAGCATCTCTCGTCAATTCTGCATTCCGGTTTAATATCACCTTTCCTCGAGAAGAAAGGGAAAAACGAACCCCGATAGCAGACAAGGCTAGTCGGTCAATACGCGGCCGAAGAGAGCATATACTTATCCCAAGAAGAGAGGGTGACATATGTATGTCTATCGCCTATCGAGGAGACGAACCGAGAAGCGGCTTCAAAATCCATCATATTATCGGGCAAGACGGAGTGGGCAATATCTTGAGGAGATTGAGTATCATGAATCGAAGTCCACATGAAAGAGGTACGAACGAACACCAGCTCCAATGTTTCCATTTGTCAACATTCATGTCTGTAATGTGTCGCCGATATTTTAACAACCTATAACTATACATTTAGTCACCATAGACCAACGCATATACCCACACTTACTGGGTGGATCTATACTACAAACCAACAACCCTCCTGAACCCCGTAGGTCCCACCATTTCGGGCGGGTATCAGTCCTGGGGTAAACCATCCAGAATAGCCCTCCCAAACGGTCATTAGGGGCCTTCGAACTTCTTGTTGCTTCGTTGCTTTCCTCATTTCCCAGAACACGGATAGAGCAGCCTTCTAGGTCCCGTGATGTTGGCTCCCATCGGGGCTTTGGTGGAAGGACCATTTGACCGACTAGGGGGTTGGCGGGTAGCAGACGGATTCTTGGAAGGTGGCGAGATACAGGAGTTGCGAATACTGTTTGTTGGGAAAGAGACGAGGTATAAGACGGTGTGAGTGCTGTCGCTGTAGCAAATGTATCTGTCCGAGGCATTAGCCGCGTGAAGGGGAGGTTCGGTTTCTTTTGGACATACCTTCTCCAACGCCTCTTTATGACGCCCACAACACGATCCACTTTTCAGCGGATCACTTCTCGGAGGGGATGACTTTGGTTTCTCGGTGTCATGAACTCCCGTCATCTTCCTCATTCTTAGAATATTCAGCGTCGTCATTTTATGCTATAAGGCTTCAATCAGCGTAACCATTAATTGTCGTTAAAGGAAAAGCGAACCATCCTGATCCCCAACCTCATCCGTACCACTTCGGTAGGCGCCTCGATTCATTATCGTCGAAGACCTCGGTCACGACAATGCCCTTTTGAACCGCTCTATTCATATTTTCACGACTAACCAACATAACGAGTTGTGTAAACGCGAGAACCGAAACGTTTCCCTGAAATGAAACATGATTAACGCTCCATTCAAGACCAGAATAACAGATTCTATACCTTGATTTTGTCGGTTCAACTTCCCGGTTCAGCTTCCCAGACCAATCAGCAGCCAACACATCCCATAATACCCTGACTTCTTTCATGTCCTTGATGTACCGGCGCACTGAGCATGCTTAGATCTTCGAACGTTGTATACAACAAGGGGCCACGTACCAGATGCGCAAACCAACCCCGCGTCTTCCGCTTTCTGTCGAGGAGAACGACTGTCGGTAGGTCGGGTGTAGGTCGACCTCGGATTGGCGGTCTGGATACGCTTATATGCGAATTATACCATTGCGTTGGCCTTTGGATTCCTGTGGTTAAAGTGAGTTCTCCTCTGAAACACCTCAAAACACAACGGACTTCGATCATTGTGGTCACTGGGCGGTTCTCCTTCCTCCGTCACGATCGTTGTTTCTCTACTTAGGTCCGTTCAGCACATAGGGACTGTAACCGAGAATCGTCATCATACGCACGACTGAAACTCGTTATAAAATATCCAAACATGCTTCCCATCAGCATTTGTGAGTGCCTTGAGACGATTATGAAGCGGGAGAGAAAGATGCCGGACTTCTTCCAGAACCGTCTGCAGCAGGATTATTGGAGGGTCAAACTTGTCGTGTTCGGACAGGTCCTTCTACAACACACGTACCCTAGTCAACAGTTGGTATAAGGAAAGGGGGAAAATAGTCAAGGCGCACCTAAATGACCACTTGGATGCGTGATGTAAGGCTCCTGCATAAGGTGGACTGCCCTCCGAAGAAGCTCTGCAGGAGCTACAGTTCTCTATTCCACACCCAACATCATCTCGGAGATATCTCACGCACAAGACTGAAAAATAAGTATCATAGTCTATAGATTGTGAGCATTATCGAGTGCGAGGCCAGGGAGGGGTTCGAACCTTTTATAACTTTCTCTTGAGCGGTGTTTTCGTTCGTTCACGTCGAGTCACAACAACCTCTGTGCGGGAACGTTTTTGAATGAAGATGTCGTCAGTCATCGTCGTCGTGTGCAGCGTCCGCGTCGCCAGACTCTGTGTGGTCGAGTTTGTGCCGCGTCAACCGTGATGAGCGCTTGAGCGCCGGCTGCTGCACCCTCTGTCTCGATCGACCGCAAAGCAAACAAACGGTCCCCGCACAAAATGTGGTATGCACCCAGGAAAGGGTCACAAGTTCAAGAAAGAAAAACTTTCACATATTACAATCTACATCGAGCACACCGAGAGGGATTCGAACCCTCGCCTCTTGCGATTGACAGATTCGTTTAGAATCTAAAGGTGTACACAAGTATGATTCCACTTCACCACCAGTGTGAACGACAAGGTACTATGTATATCACTTGAGTCACCAGCTCAGCAGCCTCTCCACATCCGGATTCCTTTTCCTCTAGCCCCATCGCACTCAGGGCGAAGGAGTTCTCTCCGGGAAGGGAGCACGCAGATGACAGTGTATCACTCAAACCGCGGTCGGTGGAGAATAACTGAACTCCTTCGTACTCAGCGAACCCCATAATCTTGTTGTTGTACAACAGTTTCCTTTGTCATTCCGAGACGTGAGGCTCGTTTGAACCCTGGCCTCTGTGGTGCCCGCTGGAGCTGTAGAGTCCTGATCAACTTCGTGTTCAGGGTGCTTGGCCTACCATCGAAGAATACATGAGTCGTGGAGCAGTTGAGAAGCAGAACAATACAGGTCGGTGCTTATAATTACGTTGAAAACGATATTCTTTTGACGAGGCCAGGAGTGCTAATGTCTTTGGTTGAATAGGACCCAGTTCGACGATGTATGCAGTACATCAGAACGCGCCAAACAAATGGAACTGTGGAGTCGCTCGACGCAAGTCGGTGCTTGCAACCACATAACCTGATGATATGTATATTGACGAGGCCCACGCCGATGGTGCTTGATGTCCTTCTTTTGACTGGAATAGAACCGACTCGACGACATTACGCACCACCTCATCAAACGATCGAATATCAATTTCAACACCAAAATGCCTCATTGTGTGGGGTAGGACCCTTCGCTTCTTGCAATTCGGCTGCGCTCAGAGTGGAGCATATAAGCGCCCAACACAAGGAGAGTTTGTTGCAATGTTTGGTCCCGCCTTGGTGCGCATCGAAAGTTTATTTACTTCCAGGATTCAACTGCCATTGGAGGCTTCGCCCACCGCACTCAGAGAGGTGGTCTTTCCGCTCTCCTCCATCGTACCACGGGATCCGGGAATAAATCCACTGAAAGGATGAATATTCCCCACTCCGCCCAGTGGATTTTATTTCTCGTCAGTCGTGATGTCGACGCATTCGATGAGGCATTTTGGCTCCACCCCATGCACCCCAAAACCAACGGCCGCGCTGATGCCTGTCGTCTCCCTGGAACCAAAGGTCGTCCAACAGACCCGTCGATGATTTTTTATGGGCTCTAACCCTTCGTCAATCAAAACAAGTGCTCCATTCGAATTTATTTCTCCCAACACGTTTGTCGGAGTCGACCCCCTTCTGGTGACTATCCTAAAGATGGACATATCATCCCAAGTTTTATTCAATTTCTTTCATTCCGAAAACAAATATTCTGGTAATATTTTCGAGGAATATCCAGGTCATTTTGCGTATAAAAGCCTCCCCCCATCCTCTCAATTCGACAGTCGAACAACTCCCACTTGTTCAGCTTCTCCAGTCTCTTCGCCTTCGAGTCCTCGCACCAGCAGCCTCCTCGCTCTCATCTCTCTCATCGTCACCATGATCTCCAAGATTATCTTCGCCATCGTCTCTTTCTTCGCCTTCTTCCAAATCGCTATTGCCGTCCCTACCCCCGGCGGCGGCGGCAGCGGTACCAGCATCTCCACCAGTCAATGCGACGTCGGCGAGGTACAGTGCTGCAACAGTGTGCAAGAGGCCAGCGACAGTGGGATCCAAAGCCTTACTGGGTTGCTCGGCGTTGCACTCGGGGGTATTACTGGTCAAGTTGGCTTGAGCTGCAGCCCAATCACCGCCCTTGGTGTTGCTGGAAACTCTTGGTAGGTTTCCCCCGTTCAACATCTTGTACTGATTAGCTGACACGAACTCCTACTAGCTCTGCTCAACCCGTTTGCTGCACTAACAATCAATTCAGTACGCGGATCGTTTACATCTTCATGTTTATTACTGACTACTCTCTCTTCAGATGGTCTCGTCAACCTTGGGTGCAGCCCCGTCAACCTCAATCTCTAAACACGGCGCCTTGTGTGCCACCTCGGTCGCCCTTACTCTGGCTTGGTTTCCGCAGAACTTCACGGTTTTTGGTCTTGTGTACTCGAACAATTTCGTCCAGCAGGTCTATCTACTTTTGTTATCAGAAAATTGTGTCTAAAATAGTTACCTTGTCGGTGATGTTCTTTTCTTACCCTTGAATACCATCGTGTCCCCTTTAGCCCGATTTCCTTTCGTGATCATCCTCAATTTGCGATGAGCGTCGATTAGCAAGTAGTGTCTTCCCTTCTAGTCAGTACTAGTCCGGTCTACTTTCGAGGATAAGGTCTATCAAGCAATAAATTGAATAATTCGAGGCCACCTTGATTGAGTACTCTGTACTCAGCGCTCAGGTTGCTGATTTTGTTCTGTAAAAAAGGTGGCCACCCAATGCATACACTGAGAGGGATTCGAACCCTCGCCTCTTGTGACTGAACGATTCACTTGAAATCCCTGCGATGCACAAGTATGATTCCACTTCACCACCAGTGTGAACAAGTTATCTACCCCTCGCATCCCCATTTTACGGGATCTCTATGAATCTCTATCACGGCCTTTCCAACATCCAACATCCAACTTTCCTCGAGAAATCTACAGTACCACGACATGGTGGCCACCCGTTTTTGCGTTTGTAATAGACAAAGAATAATGCGTATGGGCTTGTAGTATCCTTAGGCCAGGTGACGACACGCTACTGATGATACCGACAAATACGGACAGGGCTATTCATGACATTGACATAGCCTTTCTGGCGTCCGCGACCGTACTGCTTGATTGATTCTCTGTATCACGGCGTCGATCTTCGGGGGGAACGGGTTTCTCAGTTTGCAAAGCGGTTCCTATGCTGCCACTTCGTTCTTGACTAACCTAAATGGGATGCGATGATTGATCCGGACAGATCGGAGAAGCAAAACTATCCTCGAAGAGTCCCTGGGATGAAGCAGATATCTATCTGGAATTAGACGGTCTGCGAATTCTATGGCTTTTATTTACCGATGGTATCGCGCTCGTCCGAGGTAAAAGAAATTATGAATTATATAGGCTCGTTGTACATCGCCTCCGTTCGACAAGGGCCCAATATCCAAAAAGACTTTTTTTAAAAAGCGGTCACACACAATATACAAATGCTGGGAAGGATTCGAATCTTCGACTCTTTGGCGGAATTAATAAGTTCCTCGCCAATTGTGATGCCACTTCACAACCAGCGTCCATCAGATTCCATTCGAAGCTGGCATCATCTAAAAAGAGCCAGCAGCTTAAGGCGAGATGAACACTGGGAAGGATTCGAACCCTCGACTCTAGTCGTGGGCCGCAAGTACAACCCGCGACTCACAGCTATTATGATTCCACTTCACCACCGGTGTCCCCCGGACGGAAAAAACATGCTCACACTGGGAGGGATTCTGACCCCCGTCTCTGATCACGTTGGCTTATGCCGCTTAGAGCAAGACTGACAGTATGTTATCCACTTCACCCCAGTGTCCATCAAATGTTCACCAATAGCTAAATCCTCCGATATGAAATGGGATTTGTCCAGGGACTCAGGGGCTCAAGCACCACCTTTTTTTCGGAAAAAGTCAGGAATCGGAAAAGTACACTGGAAGGGATTCGAACCCTTGCCTCTTAGCATCAATGAGGTCCAAGACGCCATGATTGTAAGTGTGATTCCACTTCACCACCGGTGTAATCCCAGCGCTTCTATAACTTATCCGGTAGATACCTAAGGCTTAGGCTCCACTCCCTCCAGGCTCGACACCGCGCAAAGAGGTTGAAACACACTGTATGAGGATAATAAAAAAGTAGTGTTTACAAAGTTTATATCAATCGAGGATATGCACGGGAGGGGATTCGAACCCCCGATTCCTCAGTTTCACCGAGTCGTGATTCCACTTCACCACCCTTGCATTTCTGCTCTTGTCAAAACGAGAACCTCGCACCGGGCCGATGCGAGGGAAGGGATTCGAACCCTTGTCGCTCTCAGCCCAGTCACAGCCTTAGAGGAAGTGTCCGTGGCGTCGAGTGTGCTTTCCACTACACCACCGTCGCATTCTCGTGATACCGCAACCTGGGATAAAAAGAGTACTCTCTGCATAGGAAGGGTTTCGAATTCCTCATTGAATATGCTCTATGAATGCTGCGTTGTTCAAGCGTGCATCTACCGCATCCGATCATCCTTGCCATGGACTTTGACTCACACTCCTGGCTCCATTTTATCAAATCGATAATAG